GGATGGTGGCAGTGGTGGTGGACAACGATGGTGATGGACGGTGACGGTGATGGTGGACGGTGGTAGTGGTGGACGGTGGCGGTGGACGGTTGTGGTGGTGAAGAGAAGTAGAAAAAAAGGAGAAGATGTTAGAAGACATTGGTTAATGTCTTCTCCAAGAAGATGCCAGGAAGACCTTTTTGAGTGAAATGTCTTCCAAAAAACAAACAATCTGCAGAGCCCATCATCTGCGCGCGTCTGCACGGCGCAGACAAAAGACGCCAGAAGGTCTTCTGGCAGAAAAACAAACACCCCCTAAGTCTCTTTTAGGGTTGAAAACTGGAGCCCTCACTTTAGGCTCTTCCTCATCGTCATTGTCTGCCAAACTATCGTCATCACTCCCCATTACAAGTAATTCTTCTATGATCTCTTTCTCGGGCACACACTTGGATGATCTAAGGCCAACCTCACCAAACTCCAAGGTGTCATCAACATTAGCCTCATACAACATATCATCATCTTCACCATCTGAGCCCTCAAATATCATCACTGCCACCACTGTCATGTTTTGAATCAGCATCATCATCTTCACTAAAGGTTTCACTCCCAAAACCTTCTTTGTCGGTTGGATGACCCTTGGTTCCATCTCCATTCACTCTACCAGTAACCACCCAAACTTCAATTGAACTTGGCACTTCATCTATTCCAACTAACGCCCATGCATCACTATCACTTATTAATTCCTTCACACCATCTTTGGTTGGAGAGAACACGCTAGTATCTTCCCATAGTTGCCTAAAGCCAAATTCCTCTACATGACCTTTTATCAACATCGTTCCCCGTTGCTCAAATGATGCTTTTGGAAGTACTTTAAAAAATCCAGCGATATATTGTGGAATCAAATCTGTTGTAAGTAATGAACCTCCTAACCTCACTTTTAGTTCAAATGTACCTTTAAGAAACACAAAAAGAACATGATTATACCACTTTAGACAAAAAACAGGATTCTGAAAGAATCTAGATTGAAAATTGGATTAGACTGAAAATTGGTTCAAAAAAATTCATCTAGATTATTTTCTTTAATATTTCCTTTAAATATTCAAACTTTAGAGATTATTTAACTTCTCCTATCAATGTTCATTGGGTAAGTGTTTGTTGTTTCAATTTGGATAACAAATGGAAACAATTATCTAGTTTGGGCCCCATAATTATTTGGAACATACATTGTAGATTGGATTTATCCAGTTTAGGATTACTTGTAAACAATTACTTAGAAGATTAGGATAATATACGGAAATTATTGTGCTAGCTATAACCGCAGGTGTATTGCCTTTTTAAAATAACACAAAAAAAATTCAGATTTGAAGAGAGATTGGGACAGGTAGCAAAAAGATCGAAAAATCCCAATACTAAAATTACTCACCTTCGAGGTCGGCCATGAAGGTTAGGAGGATGAAAAAGAACATGTTGATCTCTTCTTCTAGCTCTTCCGATTACGAGGGGAAGGAAAAAAAATTAGGGTTCTTACCCCATGAGTGACATACGAGCGGTGTTGATGGTGTCTAGTCTATTCTTATTCTGCGTTTTTGAAATGGATTTAAGGAGGAGATAACTGTTGGCTTGACGGAGGACCATATTTGTCAAGGCCAAACATAAATGGGGACTATGATTGTAAAGTTTGATAAGCTGCCATTTTCCCCATTGATAGCATCTATATATCTCTCCTTGTCGTCATCCATAATTGCGAGCTGACGATCACTAAGCCTGAGCATGTAGAATTCCTCCGGGGGAGGAATATCCTTCTTAGGCGCGCTATCCTCTGTACATTCGCTTGAGGGAAAGATGAATATAGGCTATATTTTTCCAACAAGAGAGAAGGAAAAAAAGATCATTTTTCAAAAACAATAATAATAAGAATTGACGCAAAAGTGGGCTTGGAATTAAGCATACCGTTTCCATTTCGAGTCACGGAGTTGCAGCTGCAGCTGGACAAATCATTGCCACTAGTCGTAGACGCGGGACACTGCGGAGACGAAGAATTCAAAATGGAGAATTTAGAGAATGAAGTGAGAGATGGAGAGCACGTGGTCTTGAGTTGTGCAGACCATAGTTTTCAGAACCGAACCGGTCAAGGCACTGGTTCAGTGGTTTACGGTCGAACCAGTGGTTCAAGTGGTTGAACCAGTGGTTCAAACATTTTTAATATATATATATATATATATATATATATATATATATATATATATATATATATATATATATATATATATATATAGAGGGACACACACATACACACACTTTTCATTGACTTTAAAAAAATTAATACATAGTATATGAGTAAATAAAATAATATAGTTCCCCTATTTATAAATAAAGAATTGATGTTTGACTAGATTTATAATTTAATTTAATTTACTTGAGTTGTGTCATTAAATAAAAAATAAAATTTACTTATTTAAAAAATTAAAAAATAAAAAGTGATTTGATAGAGAATATTTTTTATTAAAGAATATTAAAGGAAAATAGCATAGAGTACACACAAGCCATTGTGGCGGAGATGGTTTGTGAAGGCTCCTTTCAGCCGTGTGGTCGTGTGTTCGAATCCAAGAGGTGTGTTTTTGAAAACCTTCTCAAAAGAATTTGAAACCCGGTGTAACACCCCAATCCGTATAACCCGGAATTACACGAATTAAGGTGAAACGAAGTTTTTAAATAAAAATTTCGCTTGACATTTGAAATCGACAATTTCTTATAAATACTTAATTTACAGACTCTGGATCGCGACCCATTTAGAAATATTTTCCGAGTAATGCGGAAGTACAATAATAATCAAATCATGACACATTTTAAAATCTGATGATCAAACATTTGCCTGCCATTCTTGCATCTCCTCTGACTCAATGGCCTCCGAGAATGGTTCCATCATTGTCTTCTTGTTACCTACGTGTAGTCAACGAAAAATACAAACTACACGCTCAGCGAAACCGCTGAGTGGTACCACGCTAGAATTGTAGAATGATTCACAGACATATACATATACATATATATATATATATATATATATATATATATATGTCCATAAAATGTATAATAATATTCATAATATGGCACATTATATCATATGGTCAATTTGATGATTCATGATGATAAATATTTAATAATAATTACATGATGGCACAATTAATCAATTTGCTTGTGAGGATGATTACATGATACTCATATAATCAATATACTTGTTCTTGATGATGATTACATGACATCTATGTAATTGATGTACTTGATGATGATAACATGATGCATAATTGATGTCACACATAGTCATGATGATTTTACTTGATGATGACTTCATGCTGTATGATTCTAAGTCGCAAGGACGAGCCTTGAACTATGAGATTCGCCCATTTGGTACGACGAACTCACACAAAAATATGGGTGGTACTCGAAAATCGAAGTACCATGTACGTACACTAAGCCCGGTTCGTGATGTCGGACTGCTAAGTCCCGCACAATCACAACTACAAGAGACGCACTTCAGCCTGATCTCTTGCGCATGCACATGATATGATATGTTTCAATATGAATGATGAAATGAATCACATGATATGAACAATTTGTAAACAACATGATTGGATAAATATACTTTATTTTATTTGGATGTAATCTGATAAAAATATCATTTCATTAAGCTACGGGGCTCGGAACGGTCGACCGTTTGGCGCGACGGTCGACCGCGAAATTCATCGCGTCGAGTTTGGAGAATCACCGTGACGGTCGACCGCGGTTGACCGGCGGTCGACCGTTGTTGACTGGAGGAAAAACGGCGGTCTTGACTGGGCAGGCGGCGGTCTTGACTGGGCAGGCGGCGGTCGACCGTTTGTCTGACAGTCTTGCTTCGTTTCGATGTTTAATACGACGGTTGACCGTTTACGTCGACCGTTTGGGTGTGCAAATCATATTTTTGATATTTTGGATATTTAAAATACTTCTTTGAGTTATTTTAACACTTATGATTAACAAATCTATGTAGTTGAAGCATTTCTAATATTTATATGTATCACATATTTATTTTTGGGATGATTTCAACATATGGATTAACATATATGTTCATGTACGCATGTGATGAATGATTCGACAAGTCTAACGCAAAGTACAGACCTGGAAATCATCGGCCGAAACCTTACGGATGAGTGGAATTCTTCATGGCAGTTTTGAATAAATATGTGTGGAAGTGAATCTCAGTCCCAGTAGACATTTTTACATTCTTCTCTTTTAAGAGATGGGCAACCATGAAACCATAGCCTACATTGTATCGCAACTCTTTGTCTCCGGACTTCACAGATGCCTTGTGGACAAAATGACATAGGCAGTTGTAAATATGGCGTGCCCAGTTACACTTGATATTGTTCATAATGGCACTTAGGAGTTTAATCTTGTCGGGAGTAACATCGTCAACTCCGGCCACTCTGCTCTCAAGACATTTATATATGATGTCTATTGCCCTTTCAAAAACAGGGTTTAGAAGATCCTTCTTCTTACCTCTGAAATTAATTTCATCAGCCTGCTTCTCATTTTTTATTTCGGCCCAGAACGTTTCATGGTCGAAGGTGTGAGAAGTGAAGTCCTTCTCTGTGGCTTCTGGTAGGGCAAAGGCTACCCTGATATCGTTGGCTGTGATTGTAACTGGTTTCTCTCCGACCGTTGAAGAGATATAGTCGGCCTCTACCTTTGCATGAAGATACCATTCTAGAACTTCCTCCTTTTGTACACTACTGTAAGGAAAAGCAAGGAATTTCATTAAACCGCAGTCCTGGAATGCATCTATGATCTTTCTTGCAACATCTGAGTGCTGGTGTTGTTTGAGAAAGCCTTCAGGATCCAGAATGCATCCGGTTTTAATTCTGTCAGTGACTTTGTTCGGTCCTTTTGGTGCCATTTCCGGTATTTTTTTCTTCTGACAAATTAAAGATGAAAGGAAAAAAATTAGTTTCTAAGATTGGAATCAGTTTGTAAACAAGCACTATAGGGTATGTGCGATTGAGAAAGAAATTGAAACAAGTTAATTGAAGATTCACTGACCATGAAGAAAGGCATTAGAAATATTTCTGGTTATAAACTTGCAACCAGCACTACTCACTTATTATCTGCTCAGGCACCTGACCATGAAGAAAGGCATTAGAAATATCTAGCTGATCGAGTGGCCAATCATGAGTCATAGCTAGGGCAAGAGTCACACGTATAGTGTGTTGCTTGACGACAAGACTAAATGTTTCAGGATAGTCAAGTCCATACTCCTGAGTATATCCCTTATCGTCATGTAACAATTTAAGTCTTAAAATCATTCAAAAATATTATTTTTGACTTTGTGATGGGGAAAACCGTTTTCAAAAACAAATTTGAAACGAGGCATTGTTCCCCCAGAAAGAAAGAAAGAAAGAAAGAAAGAAAGAAAACACTGGAGCAGAGGAGACTAAAGCAGAAGCTGCATGTTGAAAGCAAATAAAAAGGACATGAAAAGAAGAATGGACGTTTAAAGCTTACACAAATCAATGACCTATATCAAGAAGGGGATAGCAATTTCAAAGCACCAACTATCAAACAATCTCTACAGTTTGAAGTGAATTATTCAAGGATTCAAACTTAAAATGCAAACAGGAATTCAATTTGAAGTTTGAATCAAACAAACACCAAAATAGGTAGCCCAAAATCTCGCTGGTCAAAAACATAAAGACATTCCAGTCAGCCAAAAACCATCACTCATTAAGCCCATTAATCCTGAACAACCATTAATCCTAATTGTGGTTTATGTTAGTGATTGTCTCATGGTGCATGTGTATTAAGTATATTATGTTGGTTGGTTGGTTGGTTGGTGTTTGCTTATAGGAAGATTTCTTTTTGATTACAGCTAGAAATTAAATGAATTCACTCGCAGCCCTAAGATTGAAGATGAAAGATGGATTAGGGCAAAGAACATAAAAATCCGGAAGCTCACCTAAGATTGAGGATGAAAGATGGATTAGGGCAAAGAGCCGCCGGAAGTTGAGTAGGGTCGTCTGAAATCCATCCGAGAAGATAAAATTCGAAAAGAGACCGAATAGATAGATAGATAGATAGCACCGCTAAGCTTTTCGGTTCGGGAGGGAGTCGCCAAAAGTGGGTAATTAAGAAGATGTAAAACAGTGAATTTCTTTACTTACTCCATGGTTCGGGTAGTGCTGGATAACCGAAGATTCGATTACCGTCCAGCAGTGGGCGTCCGCATTCGTATCCGCTTTTACGTAAAATGTCTGCATCCGTTGAACGGATACGGATTTGGTAATCATACATCTGATCCGCTTATAATCCGCTTCGCTTACACATCGCAAATTCATTGACAAATAGGCATATAGGCTAGGCAAATATTAGACTAGACTAACCTATACTAATTAATACTAAACTAAATTTTAAGATTAGTTATTAAAATAAACTGAGATATTATTGCAAACTTTTTTGTAATGATAATTGATATTATAATATAATCAATATTTTTTATTTGATGATTATGTTCTAATAAAATAAAATTTGTTAATTCTTATATTAGAATAATCATTCATATTATACTGTAATAATATTTTTTTTGCTTTATGATTATATTTTTTTTGTGAAATTAGAATATTAAAATATTATTTTAATAATTACTTCATATATACATTAGAATAACTGTGAAAAGAGTTTTCTTAACTTATTTTAAACAACTGTGAAAAAAAACCCTTGTGACACAGACTACTAGTAATACATTACCATTTCTCATAACTTTAAAAATAGTTCTAAGCTTTATAGCCTGACTATTGATTAAAATTAGTATTTTTAATTTATTATAGAAAACTGTGGCAACAAAAACCGTATTTTGATATGACACATGCAACTACTAATAGATTACCGTTTCTATGAATTTTAATAACAGATATTGGCTAAGTATCTAGACTATTGTTAAGAAAGAGTATTGTATTCTTATTATAAACAAAAGTGCCAAAAATACGATATGACATAGACAACTAGCAATAGATTATTGTTTCTCATAACTTTAAAAAACAGTTCTAGACTGAATAACTAGACTACTGTTTAAAAAGAGTATTCTTGACTTATAACTGACAACTGTGATAACAAAAACTGTATTTTGGTATGGCACAGACAACTAATGATAGAATACCATTTCTCGAAACTTTAAAAGTAGTTTTAAGCATAATAGCTAGACTACTACGGAGTACTTTTTTAGCCAACAACAACAAACAGTAGTCTGATTTTTTTTAACTACTGTTTTTTCACAAACAGTAGTTAATCAACAGTTGTCTGACACTGTTTTTGGCGTAGTGATAGCTAGTGAAAAGAATAAAAATGTATTATATACAAAATATGGTTAGAGTAGATATAAAAAAGTGGAAGTGCAAAATACTGTTGCTGCTGTAAAATAAAACAACCATGCTAGGAGTACACCAAAAAGTATACCCCAGGTTGCATCCCAAAGAAATGCACTGACATTTTAATGGTTCACACTGGCTCAAAATGTTAGTTCAACTAAAAATTTTACATTCGTCCCTATTATATCCTAAAATAAAGTGAAAGATTAAAATTTTACAAAATTTTATCACGTTGTCCTGATGCGAAATATCTCAAGTCTCATGAAATGTGCGGGATTGAAATCTACTTTAAATAGAGAGAATTACATTTTGTCCATTTTTTTTATTTGGCAATGCTAAGGGTACACCAAAATGCATGGGGTACCTCATTGTGTACACTAAGCAAAAATAGACACACACTCTGTCTCTGCGTGTGTGTCTATTTTTGCTTGGTGTACAAATTGAATATCGTATTTAGTAATACTGAATTTTATTTCTTCAAAGGGAAAGTGTATAAATGTAAAATTGTTTTTTTTAATATTATTTTTCCTTATTTTAAACATCGAGTAGAACAAAACTTAAAGTTGGTTTATAAACAAGAAATATAGGCTATTCATGATCGAACTCAACACATCCTCATTTGTAAGTGTTGTGCTCAGGACATTAGGTTAGGTTGTGAGGAGGTAGATAATTATAGTCTCAGTAATTAGTACGGAGTATTTAGTATTTACACCATGGAGTATTTGCATGTCCAGTTCTAACTTGTACAGTCAACTAAGTTCGACCTTTGACCTAAAATTAAATAAAACTTGACATTCAAACTAGCCAAGCTTCGTTTTGAGCTTTTTGGACATGCTCAAACAACTCCCCTCTTTAAGTACTCCCCCCTAAAGTAGTGCATACACAAAGGGATGAGGGCAAGACACATAGCCATAGATAAGCAACATGCATAATTCGAGTTTAAAGATGTCCATCACACACAAGTTCAACAACCAATTCATAATAGTCATACAAACCATGAGAATCATATACTAAGTTGAAGAAAGAGAAAATAAAATAAAATGTTTGACCGTAAGAGAATAAAGATGCATAAGTGTGCCAACCTAAGAATGATCAAACCGAGACTTGGAGCGGTAAGAAAGGAGACACGGTCAACTTTTTCTTCAATTGTTCCTTGCTTCTCACCAATTGCCACTTGCTTCTTCTCAATGTCCTTCAACTTTGAGGCGATCTTATTCATCGGTATTTGTGCATATGGGTACTCGTTTTTCTATAAAAAGCCTTCATATATCGGCTCTTGCATGATATCATAACGTACATATGATGTACTGCTGCTCGAGGTAATTAATCACATTTTCTCCAAGCGGTATTATGGGTAAAATTTAACCTTACCAACTTAAAAGTCCAACAACACTGAAGATAGAATATAATAAAATTCTGTTCCAGGAATTGAAGATGTCAATCTCCTCATGAGCACATTTCATATCACCACATAAAATAACAGCCTTTCACTTTTCGAACTCCTGTAAAGCATCACAAGTATATGAAAAGGCCCGAGGGAAAAAATGGTTGGGCGTGAACAGAAGATTACCATCGCCAGAATTGTAAACAAATTTATTGAACAAGAAATTATTGTCTACACTTACTGTCAGTGAAAAAATGAGAGGTCTTATTTTGTCAACTAAAAAGACAGCAAGGAGAAGGTATGAAGGCAGAAAATTTACTTTGAACAACATATAGACTTAGAAAAAAAAATCTAGCAAGTACCAATTACTGGTTATAGTGAGAACCCTACTTCTCTGCTCCCAACAGATAAAAGCTACCAAACACCTTCTGAATCATGACCTGCGATGCCAAAGGTGCAAGTTATTGGGCAGGAAATTTAGAAAATAAGAAGGCATATGTTACTTGGTAGTAATTATATTGCAAAGTAATGGTGGGTTAAATAGTAGTTGTTGGTGAATAAATCATGCATGCATTCACAATTAGAAATGAGGCGGATATAATAACACAGAAAACATGTCTTAGGGAGATCATTTTAAGCGGAGAAAATAAAAGTTGCAGCCCAGGACATGCAAATATTAAATTCTATGGAAAAAGATTTGAAAACAAAAAAGAGCTCCCCTTGAAATTATAGCGGTACCAGAATACCCTTGAGTTAGATATGTCCAAAAGTTATTTCATATCCATCTACAAGCCTCTCCTTAATTAGCTGAACATCATTTTCCTGTTTTTAGGATTTCAAAAGTCCAACTCTCAAAGAGTTGCAAGAATTCAGAAAGACAAACAAACTTCATTTTTTCAAAGAGAACAATGTATATGAAATAGCTTGCAGGGAACTTTCAATTTGCAAGCAGAACAGGAGCATGGTTTTAAGGAAGAAAAACCTATGATAGATATTTACTTAAATAATAACTAATTAATAATGACCAAAGGTCCTACATTGGAAAATAAAAACATATGGTCCTATTTTGGGAAAGTCATTATGTTTTAGTCCTATTTAGGTAAATTATAAAAAGAGTATAATAAAGAAATTTTTACACTGAATAGCACTAAAACTTAAGTCATTTCCCTAAATAGCACTTAAATTGTTTTATTCCCTAAGTAGCACTTGATAATGTCTATAATATCTTGTGATGGCAAATATTTACTTGTATAATGACTAATGCATAATGACTAAAAGCGCTATATTGGAAAGAAAAACACATGTAGTGCTATTTAGAAAAAGTCATTATATTTTAGTGCTATTTAAGTAAATTCCTCATTTTATCTTTCAACTCCTATTTTAGAGTTTAATTAATGTTTTACTCCTATTTTGGTCCTTAGCCCTCAAATCTTCTTTGGCTTCGTCCACCAAACCTAGATCTTAAATGTTAATCAATGGATTAAAATAGCCCATGAAGGAGGTTATAGAGATATATTAATAAAATTTAATCAAGTTAGGAAATTAAATAGAAATTTGTATAGCTCAACCATGTAGTTACGTAACTTCTTCCGGGGTCGGCGGGTCCCACGAACAGTCGACCGTTATTCAAGTGGTGGACCATCGTTCCGTCTAACATCAGACTGCCTTCTTGACGGTTGATCGTTATAAAGGAATGGTCCACGTGGCTCGACCGTCATATCGAGGAAAATGATCGCATATTTCGTGCCAGCTGGTACACTGGGGTTGCCAGGTAACCGAGCCAACACTGGGTCATTCGAACGAGGAAGAAATAAAAAGGAGGCATAAGGTTGTGAGGTCAAAACTGTTCCTAAAGAATGCTAAAAAACTTTATGAAAACTTGTTTCTTAAAGTGAGAAATAAAAAAAGGGTTAAATTAAATAAAATAATTTTATCTCAAAAACTGAAATCTGGTTCTAAACACTAAGGAAGTTTTTAAACACCACCGTCCGGCGTCAGTCGGTCACAATCCAAAGGGAGCAATAACCACAAGAAAAATGAAAAGAAAAAAAATCTCCAAAACGAGAAGAATATTTACACCCATGTAATTTCATTACAATAATCATTGTTCATTGACACTAAGTTCTAGAATACGTATTAGGTTTATTTAATCTTGAAGACTACCTACTATATTTAAATATTTGTCAAGTTTTGATTTTTTATAGACAACTAATTTCAAACTTTGACCTTAATGAAATAAAACTTTTATGACATTAATAAGATAAAACAATACTCCCTCCCTCCTATATCTTTCTTCCTGTTGCGCAAAAAGAAGAAAAATCTCAAGTTTTTTCAATCTATTTTATTTAAATATTGGTATAGAAATAAAAAATAAAATATACATATTTAAAAACTACATCAAAAATTCAACAAAGCAAGTGGTGACAAGAATATTTTATTTTATCATATAGACTATGAAAAAACACAAATAAATAGTGCTCTGGGAAGAAAGTTTAAGGACGGATGGAGTACTTTGAAACAGTTTATAAAATAAATCTAATAAAATGATATTTTATCAATATCTAATTTTATAAAATAAAACTAATAAAAAGATACTTTATCAATATCTAATATTAATTTTATATAATAAGTGGTCGAAATTTGTCAACTTTAACGACGAAAAATCAAAGCTAAACAAATAGTCAGAGACCAAGATATTATAGTTCTTTACGGTATACTTTGTTACTTGAAAGATTGTCAATTTGGTACATTCATCCATGCATGCACGGGTTGAAATGATGGTACAAAAATAAGACAAATTATTTATTTCAAACTCCATGATATAAGATAAATTATTTGTTTCAAACTCCATGGTAAGCATATGAAACAATCAGGCTGGAAATAAAGATGGACAGCTTAATGTTACAGAAAGGGTTTCAAATAGTGACATCCTGACACCTAAAAACAACACACAGACAACTTAAAAGATCAAATCACGCATGCTTCAATGCCCTTGTCAAAGTCCCCCAAGAGAGGAGTTTGGATAACTTCTGATCACATACTTGAGGCACGTACTTCCTTGCGTACCTCATAGGCTTAATAGGAGGAACATCCCGATCCACAGTTGCAAACGATAGGGCACGACTCGAACGCAACTGAGATCTAGTATATGCAGACCACTTCTTCTGAAATGATGAAACAATATCTTATTACTTGCTAAGTGGAGAAATGTGTGTGTGCCTGTGTTTGCCTAAAGAAGTGTGTCAAGATTGGACAACTAAGATTGACTCACTCTTTACGACCCCAGAAATCAAAATGAGTGAAAACAGAACACTAATCTCCCCACAGCAAATGCAACTTATGTGAATAAAATAAGAAACTATAACTTCATAAATAAGACAGCAAAGATATGAACCCAAAAAAACCCAACATGGCACATACCAGATCATAGCGAAGAGGATTAACAAGGGATAATCGGGATGGAAGAACGTTATGCACAATACCTGGATGTATGCAACAAGTCAGTGATCTCCTCCTCCATTCAATAGATTAAACATGATGGCACAAAATTTCCCAGTTTATTTGAGTTTCTCGGGGGAGCCATACTATCAACCCATTTGATTCCAATGTACCACCAACAAGTTAATGTGCGTTCAAATTGCTTAGGGGTGACATGAGGGCACATTTTGATGACTTTTACATACTCTGTTACGTGATTGTTTTATTACCAAAAACCATAAACCACAAGAACAAAACAAACAAAAAATAACAGATCATATTTCTAAAAAAAGCCAACATAAAACAGACTGTCGTCGGGGGTTATGACACTTCAGTTGTTCAAAACAGTGGTGCAGTGAAGTATTCGCAAAGTTTGTATTACATCTATATCTTGTATCTCCAACTTTAATATCGAGTGATGAACACGTAAATACTTCGAGAGGGAAGCAAGGTTTAATTTTAAAGTAAAAATGCTTTGTGTATCAGATTCTTAAGTGAAAAAAATGAGTGGTTGGAATTGATATGAGATAAATAATGATAACCACACATTCGTTAGCTAAAAGTGAATGATCTTACTTTGGGACAAACCAAAAAAAGTAAACGACCTTCTTATTTTGGGGGCGGAACTGCATGTTATTGGAAAATATTCACTTAAAGTATAAGAGATTGTTTCATTCCAAAGGTTCTTTTTAAATTATAAACAATGACTCCGAATGAATTGCAATGAAGCTTACACTTTCCTTTTTCACCCATCATAAAATACACATTACACTTCTCCTATTTCATTCTAAGGAAAGGAACAAGTGGATCATCACATTTCACATTCTTCTAAACAAATTCCAACACTACACTTTTTACGTTAGTAACAATATCTTAAATTTATGTAAATCAATGTGTATACTTCATCGCAAGACTAGTATTTAAAAAAATATGTAGAGATAGAGAACAAAATGAAGCAACAAAAACAATGACTAACTATGTTATAATCAACCCTTTGGAGAAATACAACAGCACTAAGAAAATATGATTGCATTACCGTTTTCACCTATTCCATGTGGGTCACCAATTATTTGCCGATAATACGTTTTATTCCTGCATTATATATTAACAGAATAAACAACATTAGCTCATTTTTCAACTACATGACATACCATTAGGGTTTAGGAAACACGCTATGCAATATTAACCCCAACGGCATATTATAACACTCAGTGTCGGTGTCAAATGATCCCTCTATCTACCCCCCCCCCCCCCTCAATCTCTCTCTCTCTCTATTTGGATTTGAAACATGAAATATGATCTTCTCCAAAAGCAATGTGTTGTATAATCCAATCTTTTGTTAATTGTCTCGTGCTTTTAAAGCCACAAATGATAGCATCAACCACATATCATGTATAATATCATCATTTAACCGCCCCTATATAATTGTTGAGTTATTGCAATAAAAATCAAGTCTAGTGCTATAAAACTAGAATGTTTTCCTCTATACATACATATGTGACATGATACAAGTTTATGACATAATCATTTTGTCCTTATTTTCTATATAATTTTTAATGTTTATCTAAATGTTATAGTAAACTCTGCCTATGTAACAATGTTACATAGCTGGTCCCAAGCCCAGGTAAAAAGAGGAGGGTTGTGTTTGGTCTAGGCAACCAACGTAAAACTTTGTCGAATTTTCATGACATGGATCAAACACAATATTGCATTAAAGCTAAGTTGTTGCCTGGAAGCAACGCGTTGTATGGCTCAAGTACAGGTCAAGTCGGTGTAGAGGAAACTAGGTGACTAGTCACTGATTAGCCGACGAGTCATAATAAGTAATATTCCATATTTTTAAAATAAATAAAAAAGTATATCACTTAAAATAACAACATACAAAGTAGGAAAAACGCAGCTCTTTTTCTCTCTCTAGCTATGGCGAGGAGAAGGGGACGGCCAAAAAGGAACAATCCGAGCAGCAGCGGGAATGGACTTCAAACGCCTGGATCTGCACAAGGGAGTGTCTCGACACATTATAAATCGGCGAAAGGAAAGGACATACCAGACGATGTTGCACCTGAAAAGAAGGAGACGAACCCTAATGTGGAGGAAAGTGAGATTCCGGATAAGACTGAGACTCCGATCCAGAAATCATATGCGAGTGTTGTTGGTAACCAAGAAGATGACCAGAAATTATGCTATATACCAGCTACTGAGGTAAATGGGAATTTTGTGGCTAAACTTACGAAGGATGATGTTATTGATACTTCAACATATTGGGATGCTACGCTAGTCTGCTGTATTTTGGGAGCAAACCCTCCACTGGAGGTGGTGACAGGCTTTGTTAACAGGATCTGGAGTTCCTACTCAATTGAAGAAGTTTCAGTCCTCAAGGAAGGTCAGTTCATTGTCTCATTTAAACGTGTTGAGGACAGGGATGAAGTTATCAAAAGGAAGTACTATTATTTTGACAATAAACCTGTCCTAGTACAAAAATGGTATCCAGGTGTGAAGGTTAACATAGATCAACTGGATGATATTCCCATTTGGATACAGCTGCCTGAACTAGAGATGAAGTATTGGAGCTTGACTGGGCTCAGTAAGATAGGAAGCTTGGTGGGCAAACCTGTAAAACGGGATAGACCAACTGCAAGTAAGAGGAAGTATGCATATGCTAGGATACAGGTAGAGGTAAAAGTTCAACAGGACTTCCCATTAATGGTTCAGTTTATAGATGATGAAGACAGAGTGAAGAGCCAGGTGATCTCCTATGAATGGTATCCTTGTCTCTGCTCCCACTGTGGAAAACTAGGGCACCTACAGGAATCATGCAGGAAAAAAGGGGATAAGCCTCTTGAAGTGAGAAGAAAACTGGTTTGGAAACCTAAATTGGCTGAAGTTAACAATAACCAAGCACCTGAAATGGAGAATAAGAAGGAGATGATTAAGACCCCTGAACCTGAGGAGGAGTTTACAGTGGTTACTGGAAAGAAAGCAGGGAAACCAAAGGTTATGGACATCAATCAAGGAAATGGAATAGAAGCTCTAATGAAGGTTATGGAAAATGCCCCATATACTGGGCATTATCCTTTTTTATCATGATAGGGAGCTGGAACATTAGGGGACTGAATAGTCCCATGAAACAGGAGGAGATTAAGAGAGTTGTTAATAAATATGATATAGGTTGGATGGGGATTCTTGAAACTAAAATAAAGGAAAACAACTTTGTTGGGATTGAGAGCAAACTGTTTGCTGGGTTCTTTCATTAATAATGAAGCCCACCCTCTTGGCAGAATATGGATAGTATGGAATAAGAGTAAGTATGAGGTAAATGTGATTGAATGGAGTGACCAACTTGTTCATTGTAAAGGGAGAATTATTGGGGATACTCAAGAGTTTTACTTAACCTTTGTGTATGGACATAATAATTCACAGGATAGGATGGGACTTTGGGATCATCTAGAGAGAATTGCTAATAGTATGGTGGCTGGATGGGGAATTATTGGGGATTTTAACTCTGTCCTTAGCTTGAAGGACAGAATTGGCGGAAACAATGTCACTGAAGAAGAAACAAAGGAATTTAAAGAGTGTATGTACTTGTGGGATGGAAGAAGTCCCTAGTGAAGGTAGCTATTATACTTGGAGCAACAAACAAGGTAATGGAAATAGAATTTATTCTCGATTAGATAGGGCATTATCTAACCTGGAATGGATTATGAAATTTGATGAGAAGGTCCAGGTAATTGAGGAAGGTATATCTGATCATTGCCTTCTACTGATTAGAACCCATATGCAGGACAAAAGGAATGTGGGATTTAAATATTGTGATATGTGGGAACTAGACAATGATTTTAAACCTATTCTCCAAGCAGTTTGGAATAAAGATATCCCGGGGTGGTTCATGTATCAGGTGATAAGAAAACAAAAGGATCTTAAGCATCCTCTGAAACAGATTAACAAAAAATTCCATCACATACATCAGCAGTGTGAACTTCTCAGGGAGGAACTTCGTGACATTCAAAGCAAACTGAAAGGGGATATTAACAATACAAGCCTGCTTAATAGGGAAAAGGAATGCGTGCAGGAGCTTATATTCAAGAATAAAGCTTCACATATGATGAGAATGCAACAAGCTAAACAGAACTGTTTTTGTGAGGGGGACCAAGGATCAAAACTGTTCTTTGCCTGGACTAAGAAAAGAACTATTCTCAACCAGATAACTTCAATCATCACTGATAAAGGGGAAAAAGTGGAGGGCAGAAGCAAGGTAGCAGATGTTATGGTTGATTATTTTCAGAAACTGCAAGGGCATAGAACCTGGACAGACCCTATTCAGGTGGATATTATTAATATAGGACCTCGCCTAGATGTTGCCCAACAGCTTCAACTGGTGGATCCTGTCTCCAATGATCAGATTAAAGAGGCATTATTCTCAATTCCCAATACCAAAAGCCCAGGCCCGGATGGATTTAACAGTGGTTTCTATAAAAGAAATTGGAATATTGTGGGGGCATTGGTGTGTAAGGCCGTGAAAGAGTTCTTCATTAACGGGAAGTTCCCTAAGCAACTTAATGCCACCAATTTGGTCTTAGTCCCTAAAGTGGATACCCCTAGAACACCTGCAGATTTCAGACCAATATCTTGTTGTAATGTTCTTTACAAAGTTATGTCAAAGATCCTCTGCAACAGATTGAAGAAGGTATTGCCAAGTGTGGTCAGTCTCAACCAAGGAGCATTTGTGGAGGGGAGGCTGCGTGTGCATAACGTACTACTGTGCCAAGAGCTCGCTAAGGGATATAACAGGAAGAACATCTCACCTAGATGCTTAATGAAGATTGACCTAAAGAAGGCTTACGACTCTATAAGCTGGAAGGCCATAAAGGATATTATGATGGCTTTAAACTTTCCCGAGCAGTATACTGAGTGGGTATACTACTGCGTTTCACACACCTCTTACTCCTTGCTGCTCAATGGAGAAAATGTTGGATTCTTTAAAGGAGGTAAAGGGATTAGACAGGGGGGCCCAATATCACCCCTGTTATTCACTTTGGTTATGGAGTATTTAACTAGGGCCCTTTCTTTTTATGCTAATAATAATGATTTTAAGTATCACCCAATGTGCAAGAGCCTCAATATTATAAGTTTGGCATTCGCGGATGATTTGATTATTGCTTGTAAAGCTGATATGGGATCAGTTAAGACCATTATCTCTTGTCTTAACCACTTCAAGGATGTCACTGGATTGGAGGTGAATTATTCCAAGTCTGAGATGGTGCTAGGTGGGATTACTGACCAAGAGGCTGATGGCATTCTAAGAGAGGCTAAAATGGAAAGAGGAACACTTCCTTTCAGATATTTAGGGGGTCCCATTACCCCTAGTAGAATATCTGAAAGGGAATGTGAAGGATTGATTAATAAGTTGACTGTGAAGATCACTAGCTGGGCTACCAAGCATCTCTCCTATGCAGGGAGATGCAAGTTAATTAATACAGTGCTAATGGGGGTAATCTCATTCTGGTGTAAGCTGTTTGTTATACCTAATAAAGTAATGCATAAGATTCAGGCTATATGCAGGAATCTTTTATGGGGATCAAGTGCAGAGTATAAGAGGACCCCATCAGTGTGCTGGGAAGAGGTATGCAAACCCAAAAAGGCTGGGGGATTGGGCTTCAAAAACCTTGTCTACTGGAATCAAGCATGTAATCAAGGACTACTTTGGGATATTGCAAGCAAGAAAGATATATTGTGGGTTAAATGGATCCATAATAGGTACCTCAAGTGTGATACCATATGGAACCTACAACCAAAGGCAGGTATGTGCTATTATCTAAGGAAGATGTTAAATAATAGAAGTCTGTTTGCTGGAATGGGATGTAATGGGGATTATTCTAGTCGGAAAGGGTATGAATGGCTGATGGGGGAGTGCAGTGTGTTCCAGGCATATCAAATAGTATGGAATAAACTCTCCATTCCTAAACATCAATTCTTCCAATGGCTGGGCTGGAAAAACAGAGTTCCTACCAAGGATAGACTGAATAAATACATGGAGATGGACACAACCTGTGTGTTGTGTAATAATGGGGTCGAAGATCAGCAACACTTATTCTATGAGTGTGATTATACTAAATCTGTCCAGAATAGTATTGGCAAATGGCTGCAAATTCAATGGAGGGCGAAGACTAATGAAGAGATGATGGCGGAAATCAAGAAGATCAAGGGAAGACGACAGAGACATATGGCAGCAGCTGGATTTGCAGCAATATGCTACGAGATATGGCATGCTTGAAACCTCAAAATTAAGCAGAATCGTTTAATTTCCCCTGAAGAATGTAGTGCTTGGATTAGGGATTATGTGAGAGTTTACATAAATGCTAAGTTAAAGAGGGTGTGGCTAAGGTAGGGATGTTTGGATAGCCTGGTCTGTTCGAATTGTATTTGTATTTGATGATGTGGTGAATAAAAATTATTTGCATTTGTTCAAAAAAAAACATACAAAGTAGGAGTATTTAATAGCATAACAAAACTAACTTTAAGCGTAAATCTTCATCAAGTAGATGTCTGTATGATTTGGTTTTGTCTCTCGACACCCACACTATCTGTGCATCCTAGCCCTTCAGTTTCTAGTCGCCACCCTAGTCACTACCTCTTATTTCCGACTGGACAACTAGTCAGCAACTACTCCACGACTAAGCGAAGACTTGATGACCATGGTACAGGGTCAAATGAGCTAGGGCCGCTGCATCGGTGCCCGGGTGTAATGCAAAATAAGAAAGGGTTCCAGTGTTTTGGTGAACAAGTGTGGATAAATAAGCAAGTTCACAAAGGTAAAGGTAAAGGTCAATATAAGTTGCAATTTGGGACATAAAACATATGTACTATGACAAGCAAGTCCATGGAGTTGATGGATACTATGATATGGAGAAGGATTAATATTATGTAGATAAAGGAGTTGGACACTTCAGGCTCCAAACTATGGTATCCAGGAAAGGTGAATAACATAAATGAAGTATTATTGTAGATAAAAATCGGCATATGACAGGGTACTAAGAAAAGTTCTGCGGAAGGTTTTAGAGAAAAAAAAGTAAGGATAACATATATCCTTGAGACCAAGGGCATGCAATATGGTGCTAAAACAAGCGTGAGAAGTCAAAGTGGGGTAACAGGGGAATTTCTCATCAGTGTAGGATTACACCAAGGGTCATCGTCAAGCCCATATCTTTTTGCACTAGTATTGGATGTTCTCATTGAGTATATCCAAGAACCTGTATCATGGTGCATGCCATCTGCTGTGGGCATCATCCTTATGGGTGAATCAAGAGAGTATTTGAACGGGAAATTGAACTTGTGGAGAAAGGCTTTGGAGTTGCATGGCTTGCGTATAAGTCGTACTAAAACAGTGCATATGGAGTGCAAGTTTGACAACGGAAGGAGAAATAGTAACATGGAGGTGAAAGTCAGTGAAAATATTATACCACAAGTAAGAGATTTAAATAGTTTGGGTGTATCATTTAAGACAATGAAGAAATTAAAATATGATGTTAACCAAATAGAAATACATTAAAAAAACGTTCAACTCTGCATTCTATGTGAGCTATGGGCAAAAAATATAGGCCATTCCATACATAATATGAGCTCATTATTACAAAGAAGAGTTTAAGCAAACTATGAAGACTAAATGAGCAATGCCATTAAACACATGCTCATTATTAGCTAGGGACATAATCAAATGCATAGGGTTTTGCATGTGACATGATATTATCTTTAACCTCACTATACATTATAGATTTAGGAGTAGTTCTTTTGGGTTAGAATTCTGAAGTTGTATATGGGAAGAAATTGAAAAAAGTTGAAGAAACTAGAAGGAGTTGGAAAAAACAGGAAAGGAGTTGGCAAATGTTTGAAAAATTAAAGTGTTAAAAAACCACTCATTTAAATAATCTCCAAAATAAATATGTAAGAAAATTAATATTAGATAAAGAAGAATTCTTCTTTGTTTGTGTTAAAGGTAGTATGTTATAAATTTGGATATATTATGTTATTGTATATTCATTGAATAAAAATATTTTTTAAATTGTTGGGAGAAACTAGGAGTTAGAAAAAACTTAGAAAAAATTTGAAGAAAATGGAAGGAATTCAAAAAAATTGGAAAATAACTTTTCTAACCCAAATGAACAAGCCCTTATAATCCCAACTCTAGAGCTAACTTATTTGGAAGTTGAAAACGACTATCTAATTGTTCACAATGGTTAGTGATAAAGATTTAAGAACACACAACTTGATGATTCTAAAGCCAAAAAAAGTTTTTTTTGTAGTGCAATAACAATAAAATGACCTAAAGCCGAAACTCCAACTAAATAGAGGGAATCATATGGTGATGAGCATCAAAACTAAAAGAGCATGACATTCATTTATTGAATCTAAAACGTAGTACATCTAGTTGGGAGCGTACTAACTTGAATGCGTTTGAGATCATCCTTATAAAAATAAGGAATCTCAAAGCAAAAGACCGTGAATGATGTTTTGGTGATGATTAATAATAAAAAATTCTGGGAAGAAATAAATTGAAAGAGGCATGTATCACGCAATACATTATATTTGATGATGATTTAGTAAAATGCTCAATGACTGGAAACTTTATTTTGAAGTTCCAAAGTTGTTCTAATTTGGATGATATGACCTCATAAAATAATGAAATCATTTTTGTATTAATATGCAAATTGAAAAAGTCAACCTAAACGAATACTTTGGGATGAAGGTTGTATCACTTATGGCTTTTTTACTTTTTTAAATTACGAACATGTTATTAGTTTTAAATATACTTATTGAATATTATGATGCGAGTTATGATCCGCTATTTACAATCCTCCAACCTCCTCATGATTCTAGCTAGGATCCGCTATTTAAAATTTATTTTTACCTAAACACAATATTATTATTTTTACCTAAACACGATATTATTCCCTCTGACTCATGCTTTTTGGGACATGATTTGCACAAAAGTTTTAAAAAAAGATTATGTTATTTCTATTGATGTTACAAAGACAAGGTAGAAAAGAATGTGAATCACACAAATATTACCGAACACCGTATGAGTCACATACGGACGAGGGGAGTATTTTGATGACACACTTAACAGCAAAACTCTAAATTATAAGAAACCTGGAACTCTGGCAATGCATATACTCAATCACCAGCGACAATACGTGCATCAGAGAAATGTAAAGAACGCAGAATATGAGGGAGGAAGAGCATACATTGGATCCTCTTCTACCACCTCAAGCCGAGAATGAATGCCGCCTTCCTCAAAGATGTGACCCACTTGTCGAGTAACCTCGACAAAAGAGGGCTGCAGACCCCAAAAAAGACAGAATTTAGCAAAGATTCACTATTTTTTGGATTTGGAGTATGATGAAATAAAACAAAATAGTTCTTTAAACTATTTGCCCTTTTTTTAATAATGAAGGAGCGGTTAGTCAAAGACTTTCAACGCATCTGAAAGCAGACGCTCAGGCTGTGTACATCCGACCCCCCTACCCCGCAATGAGAGGCAGCCTTTGAGGCACTGGGGTAATGTGTTGTTGTTTGGAAAGATAAATTTTGGCAAAAAAAGAAAAAAAACAAGTACTGTATATAGGAGCCACATACTTTGGGTTGTTCCAACTGAAGATACTTAGCAAGTTTGTCCCCGATTGTCTCAAATATTTGGAGCAATACCAATATTTGCTTAAGCTTGTCCTTTTTCTCCATGCACTCTTGCAACGCACTTGTATTACAACTTCCTCTTTGTTGACTTTGAGCCAGTATTGCAGCCAAAAACGAAAACAGAAAATAGATTTTGCCTGATAACATTTTACGTACATTATCCTCAATCTCTGGATAGACCGGTGTCCTCAGCACTTTTTCAGAGGCTACCATCAACAGAATAGAAAATTCAACAATTTTTCCTTCCATTGCATAATTAAGGGCTTCCTTTTCAATCTTATTTGTCTTCAGGGCGATCAATCTCGCAATCTCCAAACTGTGCCTCATACTTGGAGCACAAAGTCTACAGATAAGCTTAAAGGCGTCACTGCCTCCATTTCTATCAACCCAATCAGCAAAGACAAGTCCATTCCTAAAACAGAAATGAGACAAATTTTGCTTGTAAGTTGTAATGCAGAGCATAGAAGAAAGGAAAAAAAATATCCGGGCATGGGGAGATAACTCAGATAAGTTCTCTTCAGTTGAGCCTAATCCTTCATAGGAACAAATTGAAATAAAGTAAGAGATGTAGACGTACGCAGGAATTGCAAGTGCAATGTGGAGAGGAAGCACCTCAGCTTCACAGAAACCCAGCCTGGCATCACATCTAGCATTGGACATGGCTCTATTTTTGTCATGTTCAACAAACAACCTCGTGATTTTGAGGGACTGATATCTTGCAGCATTGTGAAGCTCATAAAACCCATCAAAAAAGAAAGCGTGACTGGAAGTCAGTGGTTTGGCTTTTCCTTCTAGCACTGCTTCGGCACATTTTGAAGCATCGTTCAAAAATAGACCAAGATTGATACTCCTTAGGCTCACGGTAGGTGGTAAGCTGCCATTTTCTCCATTGATGGCATCTAGAAATCTCTCCTTGTCGTCAGCCATAATTGCGAGCTCACAATCACTAAGCCTAAGCCTGTAGAATTCCTCCGGGGGAGGAATATCCTTCTTAGGCGCGCTATCCTCTGTACATTCGCTTGAGGGAAAGATGAATATAGGCTATATTTTTCCAACAAGAGAGAAGGAAAAAAAGATCATTTTTCAAAAACAATAATAATAAGAATTGACGCAAAACTGGGCTATGAATTAAGCATACCGTTTCCATTTTGAGAATTCACGGAGTTGCAGCTGCAGCTGGACAAATCGTTGCCACGAGTCGTAGACGCGGGACACTGCGGAGACGAAGAAGTCAAAATGGAGAATTTAGAGAATGAAGAAGTAAGAGATGAAGAGCACGTGGTCGTGAGCTGTGCAGACACCCCCGTCCGGCGAGATTGTGGGCGGCTGAAGCCGGAGGCAGGATGGAAAGAGGGATAAGCAGGAAACCCTTTGCCGAAAAAATTAATCAATTTCTAATAAAATTAATTTCTCATTTGAATTTTTACTGTCTTCATTTTAACCATCAATATCTCAATTTTTATATAAAATAGTTTATAAAAATTATACGGAGTATATATTTCAAAATTATGTTTCAAAATGAATCTATTGCTAATAAATTTATATAAAAATTCAATGTACTTTTTCCGTAATATACGATCAAAGTTTAAAAGTTTGACTACAAAAGTCAAACTGGGAAGTTAATTTTAAGACAGAGGGATTAAGAGATAAATAAGGTGGTTTAGGCTAAGAAATATATGAATTGTTCACTTATTAATTAAGTAAAATTTGTACTGAATAGAACTAAAACATAAGTCATTTTCCAATAGGACTTAAACTTTTTTATTCTCTAAATAGAATTTAATAATGACTAGTGAGAAAATAATGTCCAAGTGATACTGGATATTTAGTTGAATAATGACTAATAGATAATGATCAATGGTCCTACATTGAGAAATAAAAATATATGGTCTTATATTGAGAAAGTCATTATGTTTTAGTTTTATTTAGATAAATTACTCATTAATTAATTAGGCCATGCTTGCTTGAAGGAAAAAATTGTCTATCATCACTATCAAATTATCATTTGTATAATATGTATAATATTTGTAATAGTGTTAGCACTAAACCTCTCTACTATACATATTTCTCATATTTTTATTTTCACAGTCTTTGTAGTTTTTCTCATTTTATAACACGTTATTAGCATGAATTTCCTCGAAAATCTCGAAAATCTTGTTCTTCTCAGAATATATTTATTTAATCTTTTTTATAAACAAACTAAAATATCTTCTTTAATAAAACAAACTATGAGAAATATGCTCTTTCCAAGAGATTACTCATCATATAAAATGGATAAGCATGTTGTATTCAACCTAGTTTCATTAAATTTGTCATTTTTGCTCATGTAAATTCAATATGGTGGATTATACTTACATATACTTATATATGATTATTTGTTTCACAATAAAGTTTATATTTTCACTTAAAAAAATTTATACTTTTCCACTACTCGTTTTATAAGATGAATGTTTTCTCTTATATTTTTATCTCTTTAAAATATACTCCTTCCGTTTCAGAGTATTTGTCCACTTTCATTTTTACACGTCATCTAATATACTTCTTTAATCCATTTTATCTTGTAATTTGTATATTAAAAAATTATAGAAATTATATATTAATAATCTATATGTTAAGACAAATCAAACAAGATCACACATGACTATATTTAGGCTTACACATTGAGAAAATTTGATGAGTCAAAGTACTTAGATGAATAGTTCCAAAAGTCAAAAGTGAACGAATATAGCGGGACGGAGGAGTATTTTTTTTTTACAATATACTTTTTCACATTTTAACAAAGTATCTTTGACTTTTCAACAAATTTTACATTTTTTATTACTTATTTGTTCATAAGTTTTCTTGTTCTATGACTTCATAGTTTGTATGCTCTCCAAGGGAATACTTTAACCTTGATGTGATTGCTTATGTATAGACATATGTTATCAAAATATATATACTTGTGACTATATTTATTATACCCAAATAATATAAATACTCAAAAAACAAATAAAAATGTAAACACTGTTTGAAGTTTGAACGCGTGTAAATACAACATGTAAATAGTAAATATGAAATTTTTGCATCTTTTGCATCAGAGCAAAGTCAATCCGGAAGAAAGTCTCTTTGTTACAGAGTATGTATGTATTTATTAAATATGCCGGTGACGCCGCCACCGGAGATGGTTAAATTGTCGGGATACTCTGTTCATGCCGGAAAAAGTTGTTGGGGTCGATCATCGTCTTCGCCTGCGCCAATCTCCGGAAGTTGCCCTTGAAATAAAGGGTTCCCCAAGAACTGGCTTCCAAGAACGAAACTTTCCCATGATTCTTGTTCGTGCCCAGATCAAGATCCCTGTAGTTCACGTACGCCTCCCTCGGAGAACTCGACACGTACTGCTCCATGTAATCGTACAACTTATTGATCCATTCGCCGTGATTCGCCGTCGCGGTGACGTCGTCCTCGCTCCAGAGGGTCAGGTACTGGATCATGAAAAGGTTGCCGCATCTGTGCGGGAACGGCGTGGCGGATTCCGGGATCGTCGCCATCTTGCCGCCGTACGGGTTGAGTATCATCATCGGGTTGTCTTCCTTCAGGAGAAGGTCCCATAGCCCGGCCAGACCTGTTTCCGAGATGGGGGTTTTCACGAAGTCGGATTTGGCTTTGAAGTGGTTTGTGAATGGTGGTTTTCCGGCCATGAGAGTTTTCGTCGGAGTGCCCAGCGGGAAGCCGGCGATGAACAGGACAGACTGGATCCAACTCATTTGGATGCAGTCTCTTTTTTTCAGTCCTAGCTCCGGGAAGCTCTGTTTCATGAGAAAATTACTCATTAAATTAAGACTTACCAGTAAAAACCATCATTAATATTAATAATTACAGTATAAAATAAAATAGTTTCCACTCCCTCTAAACCCTACCCCCTACCTACCCTTCCCACCCCATCACCCCCTGCCCCTCTCCCCCGCTGCAAATAAACTCCATATACTACCTCCGTCCCAAAAAGATTTACACGTTTTGACTAAAGTTGAAATTAAGGGATGGATAATTTTGTGCTGACTTTCTAAAAATACTTTTGATGTGATGGATAAAAGTAAGATGTGATATGTAGATTATTAGGAAAAAGGTATGATGTGATAGGTAGAGTTTGAAAAAGTAAGGAGTAAAAGTGGGTTTTTAATAGGAAATGAGTAGTAGATTGTGAGACGCAATTTTTTTTTAAAAGGTGTAAATCTTTTTAGGACGGAGGGAGTAATATTATCAAATAAAATAGAGTAAATTATATAAAAGGTCCCCAGTTATAGGTCGTTTTACATATTTAGTCCCTACATATCAAATATTACTAATTTAGTCCCCAATTATTATATTTATTTCCACGAATGGTCCTTTGTTAACATTTCCGTTAAGAACGTGTATAAAATTGTATATTCATACTTCTCTCTCTCCTCAATTAAGCTTTCTTTATCTTCTCATACTCTTTCCCAAACTCGTCGCTGAGTTTGAACCTCTTAAACCCAAAATTTAAATGATCGTTCCTCCAGTTAGACAAACAATTGAGAGAAGAGTGATGATTTTGGTTTAGGGTTCAAAGCTAGAAACTTAGCGACGAGTTTGAAAAATGAGTACAATAGATGAGAAAGCTTAATTGAGGAGAGAAAAGGAGTGTGAATTTATAATTTTATCCACGTTTTAATGAAAATGTTAACAAAGAACCATTCGTAGAAATAAATATAATAATTGGGGACCAAATTAGTAATATTTGATATGTAGGGACTAAATATGTAAAACGACCTATAACTGGGGACTTTTTATGGAATTTACTCAATAAAATACTTCTTTTGACCCCACCCCAGCACCCCTGTCCCTCTCCCCCATTACGAACGAATCATCGTAGGGCCTCGGAACATAATACGACCTGAGATTCAATGGTCAAAAGATCATTGTCGATAAAAAAAATATTGCAAAATAATAATATAGAGTGTCACGTTTGCACATTACAATAGTTATATTTTGGGATAAAACTATGTTGTATCACTTTTATTTTGAGATTAGTGCTACTAGTTACACTCGTGTTTTGGGTGAGCTCTTGACAAATTAATTACTCCACAATGACCTACTTTCTCCATTCGAAATTAATTGTCTAGTCATTCAAAAATTATTATCCTATGAACTAACTGAAATGAAATTAGAATATGTAACTCACAATACTTCTCTTTCTTTTAAACAAACATTTATCAACTAAATGTTTTTAACTTTTCATCCTTTTTTAAGATTTTATGAAGTGAAGTGAAATTAGATTGATTATTTCAAAAGAAAGAGACATTAATCTAATTGGTGAAAACTTTTAGAGCATCTTTAGTGTGTAGAGTTCCAATTCACAATTATCTTAAATACTCCCTTAAACAACTTTATAAGCAATGTAAACGCCAACAACTCATAACTTTATTTCAGACAATAAAAATAATACTCTTTCTCTTATGAGTATTTGTCAATTTTAGACTTTTTTTAGTCAAAATATATAAACTTTAACTTTAAATTTAGTAAAAATAATATTAGATATCGATACAAAAATAGTATTATTATATTTATTATATGAAATATTTTTAAAATATTATTTTATCGTAGGGCCATTGAAGCTATTGAACTATTTGGCTTTGATTTTATTTTAGAATTCAATATATTCTTTCCGGTCCTAAAAACTTTTCATGTTTTGATTTTTTTGATCAAATAGTGGCATTTTTAATTTACCACAAGTTAAGCATAATCTAAATAAATAAATAAATAAATAAATAATATAAAAAATTGATATATGAAAGCTACTCCGTATATAATAAGATGAACCAATTATATCGAATGAATAATTTACCTAAATAAAACTAAAACATAATGACTTTCTCATGACAATATGTTTTTATTTTTCAATATAAGACTATTGGTCATTATTAATTAGTCATTACTCAAGTAAATGTCCTCCATCGCTGAACATTATTTCGTTCTTGTAGACATTATTAAGTCTTATTTACGAAATATAAAAAATTTAAGTCTTATATTAAAAAATGATTTATGTTCTAGTTTTATTTAGTGCAAATTTTTCATATTCCAATTGGCGCGAATTACGGAATAGTTCAATATATACCTGCTTCATTAGCTTCAGCAGCGCGTCGGAGGTACCGAGGAACAGGGCGTTGTAGGCGGTCTGGATGGTCTTCTTTCCGGGGGCAGTGCCCTTCGCCGGCGTGATGACCACCCTGATGAAGAGATTCTCGTCAAGCTTA